AAAAAGGAAGGCATCTTCGGTATCCTTTAGCTTCTCTAAATTGTGTTCTTTTGAAAAAGAAAAGATAATCTGTCTAAAAAAAAAGTCCAACTGATCCATGCAGTTTAGTTATTATCAGAAAAATACTTACCGTTAATTCATTCTTGAGTGTGTGAGCATTTTGGGCTGAAAAGCAAAATAAATAAATAAAAATTACTAGCCTGTACAGAACCATAAAATATACATGAGGCTCGCTGGGTTTACATTCAGTTCCCAGAATGTGATACTCCTTTCATTGATCTGCATTCCTAATAAAATATGCACAGATAGACCAGAGGCTCAGTGCACTGTATAACCAATTTTTTTAGACCAAAATAAAGGCGCACACACGGCTTTTTAACCCGTACAAATAAGTTTTTAAAAATTGAATGGGGTTTAAAATATATATATGCACACCCATGCCTTGGTTGACTGAAAAAAACTGTGATAAATCAAAAATAATGAAACAATTTAACAAAACAATTTTACTAATTGCATTATTTGCAGAGTGGCTGTTAAAATATATAAGTATAAAAGGTCTGCTAGACAGGTACAAGTGATAAAAAATTTAATCACTACAGGAATTTTAAATGCGTACCCATGAAGGTTTCTTGTAAGGACAGCTCCCTGCAGATGTGAAATAAATGATGAAATTGCTCTACTTCTTGGAGCTGGCAGATGCATTGACATGCAAATGTGTGATTAAGGGCATGTCTAAGTTAACTGATCACAAACTGTGAATTGAATTCATAAAATGGAACCATACGCACCCACAGCTTCGTAGATTTGACTGAAAGTATGAACATACATGCAGCGTTTCTCTAAAATAAATTTGGCTGAAGGCTCACAAAGCTCTGCGCCTAGTTCTAGATCTGTCTAACGTCATGCACAACTGTAATCCTTTTGAACATCACTCGCTTTTCTTGGCCTGAAAACTCTTGACTAACTTAATTTAATAATTTAAAATGTGTTTTGCATCGTAAAAAAATGTTTCCTTTAGTTTGGTAAACTCCATTTTTACCGTAATTTCTGGACTATAGAGCGCACCCAAATAAATGTCGGGCACATTAAATAAAAAAAAATTAAAACAAAATAAGAAACTGGTACATATATAATCCACGGTTGTGTATAAGCCATGGGTGTTCATGTTGCAACATGAGGTATTTACACAGAAAGATGTTACACAGAAAGATTTTTTAAAAACTTTTAATTAAATACGAACCAGTAACATATACACATATTACAGTAAAAAAAAAAACAACAAAAAAAACTGAACGATACCTTTAACACGGCTGATAAAAAATAAAACAATACAGTAGCTTACCAGGAAAAGTCGCTAATCGCTATGTTCATCTTCCTCCTGTGCACTAAAACCACTAAAGTCGTCTTCTTCAGTGCCAGAGTTGAACATCCTCAGAAAAGCTTCATCACACACGTTCTCTCTTGTTGTTGAAATAAATACAGTAGCCTACCAGGAAGTCATTGATTGCTATCTTCATATTCCTCCTGTTGCAAGCGTGCTCCGTGGAACAAAAGTTACTCTGCGCATTGGGGGATTCCCCCCTCCCAGTTCTCTCCTCCCCGTTTCATTGGCCTCCCATCCCCATTTCATAATAGTAATAAAGTTGGTTCGACTATGACCTGTTCACTAATTTCATGGGTCAGATTATTTATTTTTACCTTTTTTATGCAAGTACAGTAGTCCATCGCTACTTCGCAGTTTGTTTTTCACGGACTCGCTCTATTGCGGTTTTTCAAAATAAGATTGGACATGACACACAGTTGGCTGATTGATGGAGAAGCCGCACGATCAGCATGGAATTTTTATTTAAAATAAATCATTTTAAATTATTTAGCACCTGCTGCACCTCTGTGCAGCCCACAGTGCAGGATAAGCTTCCTGCTGCAGCTGATCTCCGTGCAGAGCGGAGAAGTGGGCGTGGCCAAGAACGCTTGCAGGTGGCTGAGAGCAGTGGAGGTAGAGAGAGGGAAATCATGACATTCTGTGCTCTTTTAGAGTGTTTAGAGATTAGAAACAATGTTTAGAATATTGCAAGAGTGTGGGAAGGGTTTAAAATGCTTTAATATACAGGTATATACTAAAATAAGCTGCTACTTATTACTTGTACATATATTCCTACTTCACAGTTTTTCACTTATCGCAGGGCTTCAGGGTACGGATCCCCCATGTTAAACAAGGGACTACTGTAGTCTCATTGAGTCACAAGGACCCGCCCCCAAGAGAGACGCAGCTACGTGAGCGTCTGGGTGTGATGAAGCTAAACGTTTTTGGCATCAGGAGGCTCGTTAGCTCGTCCCCAAAAATATTAATAATTTTAAAAAAATCCATAAATTAGCTGCAGCATTTTATAAGCTGCGGGGTTTAAAACCTGAGAAAAAAAGTTTTGGCTTATAGACCAGAAATTACGGTAGTTAAAACTGTTTAAAGGTGCTGAACTAAAGTGTAGTGTGATGGTAGCCGAGACAGATCAACACATTCTCAGAGCTAACAATTTGTGCACAGTGTGATTTTTTTTTTTTTTTTTTTTTTTTTTAATATTTGGAGTCAACTCTGTCATCACTTTATCTTCACAATGGATTAGCCATTACTGCTCATTGTGTGAGATTATAGCTTATAATTTTAGCAATGTCAATGCCAATTTTTTTATATAGCACATTTAAACACAACATCGTTGACCAAAGTGCTTCACAAGGAGGTTAAGAACAAACGGGAAAACATAATAAATTAAATAAATTAAACGTGCATACATTAAAATCCACACAGTTATTATAAAATACACTAAAAGCAATTTAAAACAAAAAATATCACATTAGTGATTGAAACAACTTTTGGAGTCGATCCTGTCTGTTTGTTAGCAAAATTTCTCATGAACCAGTGGACAACTATTAATGAAAGGTTCAGAAAGTAACCTATGATGTATCCCTACAGCTCATTAACTTTTGGAGGTATTTCAATTCAAGATGGCAGCCACAGCTAATCAGCACTAGCCTTCACAAAATGGCTATATCTCAGTTTTTTAGTTATAAAGCTAAAATTTAATGTGGCTTAGAGTAGCTTGGAGTCATTCACAACACATTCCCTGAGTGTTATATCTTGTGATATCACACGAGTGTGCATAATGTTCTTTTTTTAAGGTTTGGCCTAAATAGCTACAACTCTGTCATTTTTTAGTAGAAGATAATTGTTTTTTTTAAAACTTAGTGTAAAACTTTGGCATAAAAGGAGGTGAGCAATATGCATTCCTTCAAAGAATGCCAGACTTTCGGGGGGGTTTTTTGTTTAAAAGAATTAATGTTGTTTATCTGCTTTTCATCATTTTCTGTTTTCTTTTCTCCCCTGCATCCTTCTCAAGCTACAGTTCTGTAAATATTTGGGGGAATACCAAATGCTGAATAGCCTAATCTTGGAGGATCAACAGAAGAGAGGTTGCAGTTGTTGTGGATTAGCTGCTTGTTTTATCATTACATCAATGCCTGCATTTATGAGTTTTGGTCTTTACCAGGCAGGCAGCAAGGGCAGAAATCTGTATTTCCTTAAAAAAAAAAAAGTTGAGTAGTGCATCTCTTCACCACTGAGGTTTAGATTTTTTGAACAAAATAAAAGATAGAAAATCAGCATAGAAAATAAGTCTGTATTTTCCGGCATATAATCACAGTTTTTTGCATAGATTTGTCAGTCCTACGACATATATATATATATATATTTTTTTTTTCCAATATTCAAAACGCAATTTTTGACTGACACTTTAAATTTTCATTCATACTGACATGAACCAGAGTAAATATTACCATTTGCAGTCGCTAGAGGCGCAAGAGGGCCCTCTAGGCTTTTGACAAGGCAAATATGTTGTTCCTGTACCGCTACCCCTGCTGCTCCCCGCCAAACATCCATCCATCCATTATCTTTACCCGCTTATTCCATTTTGGGTCACGGGGGTCGCTGGTGCCCATGTCCAGCAATCACTGTGCGAGGGGCGGGGTACACCCTGAACAGGTCGCAAGTCCATCACAGGGCCACATAGAGACAAACGAGACAAACAACCATTCACTCTCTCATTCACACCTAGGGACAATTTAGAGTTACCAATCTGCCTAACATGCATGTTTTTGGTCTGTGGGAGGAAACCGGAGCACCCGGAGAAAACCCACGCATGCACGGAGAGAACATGCAAACTCCACCCAGAAGGCCCCTGGACCGGGGTTTGAACCAGGGACCTGCTTGCTGAGAGGCAGCAGCTCTACCAGTTGCGCCACCGTGCTGCCCCCCGCCAAACAATGACCATTAAAGTGCATTTACTAAGGAAAAAGTTAAACTGAGACACACCTTTGCTATAATGTCGAGCAAACAAACAATTGTTTTTTAAGTGTTAATCTTGTTAAATTTCGAAGAACTGCAACAGCGAGTCCTCCCGTGCGCGCTCCCATGGCTGCCAATCGATTTTTGGCAGGACATCGGCCCACGTTTCCCGTGGGTCAGCGGTGACGCATAATAAATGCGACTTATACTCCGAAGCGACTAGAAAATACGGTAATAAAAAACAGGGAATAAAAGGAAAACTAAATGGAGCAAATAATTTCAAAGATTCATGGTGACACTGAATGAAATACTAGTTGGCTATTTGTGATTGGAACAAGTTTGTAATGAGCTTATTGGTTAGACGGTTTTGTTTACTCCATGTACGTAGGCATTGTCGCAGACCGCTTCCATCACAGATTGCTGTTTATAAATGTGATGGAAATAAAAAAATACTGGTAACAATGTCCCATAAAAAATGTATATTAAAAAAAGAACTGAGTGATTGCATGTTTTTCTTGATGCTCAGTTGCTCTTATAAATAAAAAGTGCACAAAAATAATTTTGCAATCAAAATGAGAAGACTAGACAAGACTATAAGACACAAATGCACTAATGAAAAACTGATGATTGTTTGTGTCTCTTGTTTTCTATACGTTCTGTTTAGAATTTGGAAAGTTTCAATGAGAGCAAAGAACAATTTCACCAAGCTGCCTCTGAGATGGAAGCAAACATCAGGTAAGATACACACACAAACAAAGCAGCCGGAATGCCTCTAGTTTTCCAAAAAGTCCTCATTTAAACACTGCAGAAACAACAGTATGCCAAATATGCACATGCATGCTCACGCACATTCTCATAAACCTACTTTAGCAATCACAAACCAATTTGTAGCTACAAAAGTAAGAAGATATTATACCCTGGAGGTTCACCAACTTGTGCATACAGAATTGCACGCACATAACAGACTAATAAATAACAAGAGGTAGTGATTTTATTTTTAACCAGTTAAATGCAAACACTCTCTGGAGCAAACTGACTTATGTGATAAATGTTTTAATTGGTTGCTTTAATTAAACTGAAATCAACAATAGCCCTGTTTTGCCATCCTCCCTTCTCACACTGGACTAATAATGAGCCACAGCTGGAAAACGAGATCTAATTATTGCCACCGCACACATTGAATAACACACATTTAATTGGCAATAGAGACCAGACCTTGACTTGCTGCTAAATGACAAGAGTCCTCAGAAATCACTGAAGTCTGCAGAAAAACGACAACTATTTATCGGTGCAGATATAGTAAGTGTTCTTCTCCCCGAGGCCAGATTTTTCACTTGAAATTGATGGGGTTTATTCCTCTTGTTATTCAGAGTTAGTTTTTCCAATTTAAAACAGTTTTACCTTATTTGCTACAACTTATGTCCAGCTGGAAAATTCTTTCAAAGCCACCAGTTTTAAACGGTACAATGCTTCACTTCTTGTTTATGACATGGCTATTGACAGTGTCCTTCTGCAACAATCAGTACTTTAGAAGATAAATTAAAGACCACCCTGGAAGTTGGGCTGGGCGATGTATCGAATATACTCGACGCATCACGAGTTTTTCAATTTACGATCGTTAAAATGGCTCTATCGCAACCATCGAGTATAAATTGCCATTCAAATATCTCCTGTCTGCGCTGCCAACTTCACGCCGCCCCCTCTTCTCCGTCACTGAATACAAACACAGCCCCTCACATGCTGCTTCACACACACTTACTAACATCGTGAAGGCAGCGCAGCAGAAGAGAATTAGTTAATTTATGTAAATAGTTTATTTATTAGACATTTATTTTGTAGGGTTACATCTGTGTGACAATTGGGACAAAGCTTTGACTGAGAAATATATTTTTATTACTTTATGGAAAGAAAAAATATTGAGATATATATCGTATATCGTGATTTATCTTAAAAATATTGAGATTTATATCATATATCACGATTTATCTTAAAAATATTGAGACATTAATTCTTGTCCATATTGTCCAGGAAATTACATTGAAAGAAGCACAAAGTTCTTTTGATCTGTGATGATGGACCAGGTGTTTTTAATTTGTCAAGTATTCAGTTTCTAATTCTTTGTGTTGCATGCTTGGTTTTTCTAAAGCAGAAGGAAAGTTCTAAACGTCGTGTTTGGCGCTAACACTGTTCTACACTACTGTATATGTTGCCGAGCCATCATGAGCCTCTTGTGTTTTTATTAAAAATTAAATCCTGCTGCTTGCAGCACGGTGGCGCAGTTGGTAGAGTTGCCGCCTCTCAGCGAGCAGGTCGCCTCGGTTCAAATCCTGGCTTGGGACCTTTCTGGGTGGAGTTTGCATGTTCTCTCCGTGCATGCATGGGTTTTCTACGGGTACTCCAGTTTCCTCCCAAAGACCAAAAACATGCATGTTAAGCTGTCAGTGACCCCCTCGACCTGTAAAGGAAGAAGTGGGTAAAATATAATGGATGGAGCAGATGGATAAATCTTGCTGCTAAACAAATTGACGAAGGAATACAACAAAGTAACCAAACTTTGTTAACTTTGTTATACAAACTTAAAATGTTTTTATGTAAACATCTGTTTAATTCAGTTGTCATCCACTTTGCCAAAATTATCATTCCCCAGTCGTTACAGTGAATGTGTTATGTCTAGTTTTAGATTTACAACCAGAGGGAAACTGACATTATCAGTGGATCAGTTTTATTAAGTCTAAATGCATTTTGTTTGTGAAAGTGTAAGGACGGCATCCTCCTCTGCAAAGTTTAAAGTATCAGAACGGAGCCAAGACAAGCAAGGCAGAAACTCATGTCAGACCATTCAGGTCGTCATCCAAGGCTTTTTAACTAGACCAGCTGTCTGTTACAGTAGTGGGCGAGCAACCTTAATAGCCACCTTTAGTCAGACAGTTTCCCAGTTTGTGTCAAAGGATCCTATCCTGCAGCATTCGCTCAGCAAAGGCTGGAAACCTCAGGAAGTCGAGTCCAGAATCCAAATTAAAAAAACAACTTCTTGCTGCAATTGCAGTAGTTGCTGTGCTGTCGGAGAAAAGTCAATCAGAAACATGTCTCGTCCAGCAAACTTACACTTAGCTGAACGCCCAATGTGTACAAGGTTCTGAACTTGTAACTTGCTCAAGGAGAGTTCTAAAGGGCAGAAACCCAATGTTTCTGATGCAAAGGGAAGCTGAGTGTATGAAAGTTTGTCTTGAAGAATATAAAGTATATTTCGTTGGTAAAATTTGTCTGATGCTGACAAATATATGATTGACAGTTTTCAGCAACCTAAGTATTACAATGGTAGTAAAAGTAGTAAGTAGTATATTGTTTACCAGTTATTTTTTCTTGAATCCTCTTGGAATCTTGCATTCAATTTAAATAGTTAGACATAAAATAGCTGCTTGAAAAACTATTGTAAGTAAGAAGGTAAAATTAAAAATATATAGAATTTTTGACAAAACGTGTACAAGTTTTCTTCCTTTTTTTTTAGGAATTATTGGTTAAGTAAACATTGACGACAACAAAACATACACACTAAAGATATTAATCAAATGGTGAACCTGTCTCTACTGTCATTTGCCCCACTCTGGGCGCTTGAGCAAGGCCCTTAACTCCACCATTTGCTCCCCCAGGCACTCTAGATAGCAGCTCTCTGCTCCACACAGGGGCTTGTGGTAGCTCGGTGGTCTGTGGTTGTGTCAGGAAGGGCATCCGGTGTAAAAAATAATTGCCATGTCTTTGTGCGACTGAGTTTGCTATAGTGGCCCCTGAAGAAGGGAGCAGCCGAAAGAAGAAAAAAATATATACATATACTTTGACGTTTCAAGTCAAGTAGAAAATGTAGTTTGTCAGGTAAATAAACAAAAAGTATTAAATTTTCCATTCTTCAATTTCAAGAATCTTTATTATCCCCACGGGTCAATTTATTTCACAGTCAGTAGGCACAGAAAACATCCATACTAGTCAAGCCATAGAGATATTAAAATATCCATGCATAAATCATCACTGTTTGTTGAGAAGCATGATCGCTACAGGGATGAATGAGATTTTCAGTCTCTGTTCTGCATCTTGGCAGCAGATACCTACTTCCAGATGGAAGCAACCTGAACTCACAATGTAGTGGATGAACAGGATCTGCCAGAATCAGCCTTGTTCACTGACCTCGCCCTGTGTAGGTCAGTGAGGTTCTGTAGGGCTATGCCAGAAGTTTGGCTACACATCCTGATAATCCCAGAGAGTTTATTCTTGGTTTTGCATGTCAAAAATCCAAACCAACAGATGAAGGTAAATGTTAAGAGACTCAATAAAACATGAATCAAACATTCTCATAAAAGTAGAAACGGCATTAAAACCACAGAGCTTTTACAAAGTGAGTTCACATGTGTTCATGTTCACATTCTAGTGTGGAAGTGAGGACATCATTATCTTTTTTTTTTCTAAGTTACAGCAAGAAATCTACACAACTGTGGAAATAAATGTGTTGATATCAAAACAAAAGCAAAAAAAAAAAAAAAAGCAGAAAACAAACCTTTGCATGAGGACACACAGTTGTGCAGTATGATGTGAAGTGTTTTGGAGATGAAGGCACATCCACTGGATAATTGTCTTTGCTCGTATTGTGAGTTGACAGTTTTTTATTTATTTTTATTTAATCATTTCCTGGTGAATTATTGTTAGTCCTATGTTGTTTCAAATGATAGGTTTGGGATGTGCAATGTCAAGATATTTTTTGATTTGACCTCAAGTTTTTGCTCCTAATTTTATATGCCCTTTTGAAATGAGTATGCAAATTAAAAACAAATGTTTATGGCGTGCAGAAAGAGTTGATGTCCAATACTACTGTACTGGCCGCCATACACGTCGCTCTGCCGTATAAGTCGCATCAGTCCAAATATGTCTAATAAAGTGGGAAACATGAATAAGCCACTTGGCCGTATAAGTCGCATCTATTGTGCGTCACCGCTGATGCGTTGCGTTTGTTATGTGTCACCGCTGACCACCCAGAAACGTGGGCCGGTGTTGTGCCAAATTCGATTGGCTGCCAAATGGTGGCCGCGGGAGCATGCATGGGAGGACTTTAATAAGAATTTAACAAGATTAACACTTAAAACAATTATTTGTTTACTCAAAATTATAGTAAAGGTCTGTCTCAGTCTAACTTTTCCTTAATAAAGGCACTTTGACGGTCAAATCAGCTGCATGTCAAAAATTGATTTGCAGCTGTTGGAGCGCACAGAGGGAGGACTCGCTGTGCATTTCTTCATAATTTAACAAGATAAACACCTAAAAACAATTATTTGTTTGCTCAACATTATAGTAAAGGTGCGTCTCCATTGGACTCTTCTTTAATAAATGCACGTTAATGGTCAAATCAGCTGCATTTCACCTGGGCGGCGTGGCGAAGTGCAGCTGATTTGACGTTTGCTCCAGGAGTTCTGGAGCGAAACAAAGATAGCTTGGTATGGCAAGCCAAGTGTCTCATAAATAGCTACTTTTACCTATTAATGAGACACTTGGCTTGCCATATTAGTTGACTGCCTTCTAGTGGCTAAAAATGGTAGTGTTCAATATTTTCCATGTCAGAATGAATGAAATCCAACATTTTTCAGTCAGGTCATCTGGACATTTTTATTATTATTATTTTTTTCTGAAACGATTCGCCTTCGGTCCGGAAGGCTTCATCAGTCAAGGAAACACAAAACAGATGACCTGACTGA